TGAAATGGTTACCTGTCCACCGTGACTCTTCCATGTCTGTCCATGCTCCTCATCTGTTGGGTTGAGTCACTGTGGAGAAATGGCTAAGGCACTAGCATCTATGTGAGCCAGACTCTCACCTCTAACCTGGGCATCGAGATGGGACCATGGGAATGAAGGCTTGCCAACGAAGTGCACATCGAATTCTCACATTTCTCTTCTGGGCCAGGTGGCAAGATAAGAGCATGACTTCTGTTTTTGACTGAGTTGTGTTCCCCCAAAATCCATATTGTTGGAGTCCTAACCCCAGGACCTCAGAATTTGACTGTATTTGGAGATGGTGTTTTTAAAGAGGTGATTAAAGTAAAATGAGGTCATCAGGGCCTGATCCAACAGCACTGGGGTCCTTATGAGAAGTGGAGATGAGGACACAGACACGCACAGAGGGACGACCACGTGAGGACACAGGGAGAAGACACGTCCACACGCCACGGAGAGCGGCCTCAGGAAAAACCAGCCCTGCCCTCACGTGGATCTCAGACGTCAAGCCTCCGGGACGGTAAAACATAAATATCTGTGGTTCTTGGTTATGGCAGCCCTAGCAGGCTAATGCACTTTCTCCATCCTCTCTCCTCTGATTAAATATCCACATCCTGGTGAACTTGGAGGCAAGGGTTACAAATGTCATAGCCACAAAATGGAAGGATGCAGGGTCCCTGAACCAGCTCTTGAGGAGCGTGACCAGCCAACCGGAAACAGCCATTTTGGATTTAACAACAGCTATTTGTTAGCATCACTGAGATTTTGGATTCATTCGTTAAAGCAGCTCAGCATTACCCTAACAGAGTGTGTTCTCCATGCACACAGCGCTCTGCTTTGGTCAAGTGAAGCAAGATCTGGTGACCACGCGTGGCACACCTTTGCCATACATTTCCTGTCAAAACACTTTTTCCCTGTGTCCTGTGAGGGTCGTCTTCTCTGCAGGATGACTACGTCCAGCTGTGGTGCTCGGGACCTTGGTGTTTCTGTCTGATTAACGAGGGTTCCCGTTAAGCTGGAGTTCAGCTGTCTTCACTGCTAGACTTGCTTTGTGAGACTCTCTGAGGTTGTTAATAAGGTAAGATCTTTGGGTCTCAAGACAAAGAGAGAAGATAATTTATTTTCTACAGAGTTTTATTTCCTTAAGCTCTATCTTCCATTACATTGTAGAGGGCGTTTCAGTAAATGATGTATGAAATTAAAAAAAAATCTGTATGATTTCACAGCAAAGGGCATGCATATCTAGAGAACAACTCTGAAATGATGTAGAAAAATAGATATCTATTTTTCTTTCTAAAAATTAAAGGCTTATGCTTTGGATAAATTTATGTTAATTTGCCAAACAAGATGTGGTTATTATGTGCGAGGCATTGTATAGATTCTCTGGTAAATAAAGCATGGATTTATTCTTAAGAAGTGTGCGGTTCTATTATCCAGTAGGGGGAGGAGTCAGTCACTCATTAAGTTTTACAAAGGCAGATGATGGTGTCATCTTGTGAGGTAGTGAGAGCAATGGGAAGGATACAGAAGGAGAAACATGTGGAAAGGGCGAGTGACTATTTTGGTTTTTAAGTGGATACTGTTTAAGACTTCTAAGGCAATTTGGAGCGTGAATTCATTATTAAGGTGTCCTAGGTTGAAGAGTGGCACCTTAAAAGGTATCTCCAAATCCTACCAGAACCTGTGAATGCAAACTTATCTGGAAATAGGGTCTTTGCAGATGATCCTAGTGAAGTAAAGGATCTGAGATGAGGTCATCCTGCATGAAGGTGACCCCAAATCCAGTGACAGTGTCCTGATCAGAGACAGAAGAGAAGACACAGACACAGAGGAGAAGCCACGTGAGGACGGAGGCAGAGACGGGAGGGATGCGGCCCCCAGCCCAGGGACGCCTGGAGCCCCAGAAGCTGGAAGAGGCAGGAGGGACCCTCCCCTGGAGCCTCCGGAGGGAGTGTGGCCCTGTGACCCCTTCATCTCAGACTCCTGGGCTCCAGATTGTGAGAGAGTAAGTTCCTGTTGTCATAAGTCACATGATTTGTGGTCATTTATTACTACAACCCTGCAAAATGAATATATACAGGGGTTGAATTTTATTTTCCAACCGAAAGTCTTTTCTACGGATAGCTAGACGGTCCTCCTGGACAGTTCTAGCTTTTCCCTTCATTAGGATTGTAACTCAGTTCATTTCCCCAGTGCTGCTATCTCTATGTTGATTTTATTTGTTTCTTCTTCAATCCTCTGTTCTAAAACAGTGAGCCTTTTTGTTTATTGAGGTCATAGTAGTTTATAACATTGTGAAATTTCAGTTGTGCATTATTGCTTGTCAGTCACCATGTAAATGTGACCCTTCACCCCATGTGCCCACTCCCCATCCCCTTTTTCTCTGGTAATCACTATTCTGTTCTCTTTGTCCATGTGTTTGTTTATCTTCCACATATGAGTGGAATCATACAGTGTCTGTCTTTCACTGTCTGGCTTATTTCACTTAACATCATACCCTCAAGGTCCATCCATGTTTCTGTGATTGGGATGGTTTTGTCTTTTTTCTTGGCTGAGTAGTATTCTGTTGTATATGTATAGCACATCTTCTTTATCTGTTTGTCATTTGATGGGCACTTGGGTTGCTTCCACATCTTGGCTGTTGTGAACAATGCTGCAATGAACATAGGGGTGCATAAGTCTCTTTGAATTATTGAT